TTTTTCATTAAAATCTGACATTTTGAAACAAAGATATCTCAAAAAAAGAAAAAATACTATCTCTGATTTTTTGCTCTTGTCAAGCTAAGACACTATATATTAGATATACAAAAGTTGGGATTTGTCACATTTTGGCAACATTGTCAAAAAGTGACATGAATGGAGGTAGCGTAGTTGCTAAGGACAAAAGCAACCCTTGGATACAGACATTTCATTGCTTTTCTGTAGATGTTAGCAGGTTTCTGATGTCATTTTCAAACTCCTAAGTATTGATTTACCCAGAAGAGACATTTTCAGTGCAAAATTCCAAAAGAGACATTAAATTTTGCCAAAAAGACTTGCTGCGAAAATTCAAAATGGCGGATTTGAGAAGGTCGAGCGAATTTGGTGCAAATTTCAAGTGGCTCTTATTCTGGAACAAATGAAGGTATTGAGCTGAAATTTGCAGGAAGCTCCTATCTCATTAGTGTGAACAACACTACAAAAAATTGGACAATTCTGAGAGGGTGGGTTACATTTCCAATATTTTTGTCCCCCTTTGATATGGAATGACCCATTTGATTGTTGAATCTATCTTTACAACGCAATATCTGATGGTCTGAGAGTCCAACATCAATGCTTCCAACTTTAAACCTTTCCAAACATACAATACAAAAAGCGTTAGGAAAATTACTTAATGTTACATAAAAATGTTACATACCAAATTTCCTTTAAAGAGCGCCACAGCATTCAATACGAGATCCATATTTCCTCTAATTGGTTGAGGAGAGCCAAAGCTCTTTCTCCCCTCCAGGCTCTCCTCAAATGCCAGAGGGAAGCTACAGATAACTCTCCTTGAAATCAATTTTTGCTTTCTTTCTATTCTTTTTTATCTGCAAATAGCTCACCCAGAGATTATTAGGAGAGATGTTTACTGCTCCCCTGCTAAAAGTCTTATGACCAGGCCTGGTGAATCTATGCACAGTGGAAAATGTATCCTTCCCCTTTTTAAGGGCCTCATTAGCCAAGGAGGTTAACATAAACATTCTACAAACGCCACAATATATTCATTTTTTAAAACCTATAGTGGATTTTCTGTGTCGCAAGTTGGAAAAACCAATTGCAAATTTTCTTATATTCTCCATTTGATATATATATATAATCTAAAATACCATTTTATTTAGCTTTCTTATATATTTATGAATATTTAAAATTTTTAAACAACAATCTGAAAATTTCCTCAAATATTCTTTTGCCTTTGAAAAATGCACCATGCTGTATGTTAGGATCATCTGTGCTCTTAAAAGAAAACTGATTTCAAATTGAAATAAGATTTTCTCCTTAAGACCAGATGAAGTAACAGTGACAGTAGTGGTATAATTAGAAGGCAGATTGATTTGTCATTTTCTTATGAGAGTGACATTTTTGAAGATCTGATCAAAGATGTTCTTGATGACCTCTTTTCAATGTCACTTGAAAGAAACATCTTTGATTTCTGCTACATTAAGTTTAATTCATAAAGAAATAGATTTTTAAATGAAAATAAATTCTTGCTAAATAAGCTTGTTTTTTAATTTTACATCTTTTTAATAGAGAAGGTAGGGTCTTGGTAGGAATGTCAAGAGCGGGTCCAATATTCATAAAAAAGGTCAATTGATAAAAAACCTCTTGAGAGAGGTCAGATTCCAGAAGCTCACATGGTTTTCAACCTATTTTGGTAAAAAAGTTCTTCAGATTTCCCTACCAGAATTGTCCAATTTAAAAAGGGAATCTTGAGACAAAACGGGGGATTCTTCCCCCTAAATTATATTACTTGTTGAATTGAATACATCAAATAAATCAATGAAGAGAATCAGAAAACAAAAATAGATTTTGCATTGTCAATTTTGCCTATTTATTATCTATATCATATCGGTCTTCCTTAACCATGTGAAGATGTGCCGTGGTGGACGAATGTTTGCACCCACGAGAATCTGGCGTCGCTGGCATCGTCACATCAACAAGAACCAGCGTAGGTATGCTACGGTCTCGGGAATTGCTGCCACTGCTCTTCCAGCTTTGGTTATGGCCCGTGGACATAAAATTGAAAAAATACCAGAAGTACCACTCGTTGTTTCAAATGGAGTCGAGAGCTTGACAAAGACAAAAGCAGCTGTGGCTCTTTTGAAGAAACTTGATGCATATGATGATGTGCAGAAATGCATCGACTCTAAGAAAATCCGGGCTGGAAAGGTAACTTGCTTTTCTTAAAGAATGCAGTGGAAGTTTATTTCTCTAATTATGTTAGAAAATTATCAAACAATTATAATTAATATAACAAGGACTACTATTCTGTCATGAACACTTTTAAGACTAGATTCTTTGCTTCTATTTCCTTCCAAACATGTTCAATTCATATGGTAAATTTCCAATTCCTGCCTCCCTCCTCCATTTTTCTATAATCTGCTGTTGATAGTCCACTGGGAAATTCTAAATGTGAGCAATGATGAAAAAAACTTGCCCTCTATGATCAAAATGATTATTCACTTTAAATGTACTCGGCTGAGCTCACTTCTTAGATGCATTCCTTATCTTTTAAATTAGAGTGGTTTATTAAGAATATAACAGTTTTGCATTTGTTTGTTTTGTATTCACTATTGGAACTGACTTTGTCCCTAGAACAGATAACCTACAAATTATTCTAGAGTTTCATGTTTAACAGCACAATGTCCTAATGAATACTAGGGGTCACCTAAATTGGTCCTGTTGTACAAAAGGCTATTGTCACATTTTCCTATCAGCAATGCAAGACAAATTCTCAAGATTTTCCAATATCAATTAAAGACAACCTTTTGTTTATGTAAACAGTTGGCTGACGGGACAGAGTGCCCTTAAATGTGAATTCAAGGTAGCTGCAGGCCTTGTAAGGAGCAAAAAGCAGACACTCGACAACAAACAGAACACTTTCTAGGCGCTCGATTGAGCATCATCAAATATCATTAATAACAAAATTTTGTTCTTTGCATTCAGTTTTTCAAAAGCAGTAACACACTAGGTGCTCAATCAATCAAGCTCCATTTAGGCATATGCAAAGGTTCTTTATTGAGCTCCAGCACCTCTCCTTTCAAGGCCTGCAGTTTAAAAGTTGCCAGGCAGTAAACCCCCTGGCTTTGTATGTGTTCTGCCTTTCTTAGAGTTAGTACTCTGGGGTCAGGTTGGTTTTAAGAAACAGGGGGTTGACTTTCAAAGTCTGTATGCATCCTGAATTGTTTTGGTGATAGTCATTACAACAAAATTTAAATTCATAATATTTATATACTTGATTGCTTTTATCAATAAAACAGGAGGATTAAAATAAGGAGCAATGGGTTGAAAAACCCAAAGAATTCTTCACCTCACTGTAGTTTGTTTGGTGCTAGCTATTAAACATTTATAAGCATTGATAAGCCGAGCTTCTTCTTTCTGGAAGTTCTTTTTGGACAGACGTTTCAGTGTAATGCGAATACTAGACAAAATAGCAGTAAATGTATATAATTTGGAACAGTAAATGTTAAATAGAAGCTTATTCTTTGACTTTCTGTTTGAATATTCTAGGGAAAAATGAGGAACCGTCGTTATACTATGCGCAGGGGGCCCTTGGTCATCTACAACGAAGATCATGGAATTCGCCAGGCTTTCAGAAATCTTCCAGGAGTTGAACTTCTCAAAGTTGACAGAATGAATCTCTTGCAACTCTGTCCTGGTGGCCATCTTGGAAGGTAGGCATTTTATTATAATTCTGCTGACTTTATGGAAATTTTCATGGCATAATTGATTGACTGATTCCCAATTTGATTTATTGATTGTTCTTAATGATTGCCCTAGACATCTTATCTGTGTTGGTTGCAATGATGAGAAAAACTTGCCCTCTATGATCAAAATGATTAAGAAACAGTTGTTTTGTACTCAAAGCTGAGCAACCAACACAGAATCTAAAGCCTCATTTGCACACAAGTAGGGATAGGACTATTTGATTTTTCAGGGGTGTGATACATTCACATTCATGTTGAAAAGAGGAACAGGGCTAATATTAGATTTATTAAAAGTGGAATGTAAAAACAAAACTGTCATGAAAGTCATTAGAAAGTAATATACAATATTTGATTAATAACACTTGCATAATATTTCTTATCAAGACAGGAATTAGAGCTGATTCATTCTTTTACCAGCAGATAGTCAAGATTTCAAGTGTAGTCAGAAAACCCAACATTTAGGAACCAAACTATTTGGTGATGCTCCTTTTCCCTGTTTTTGGAGTTTAAATCAGCCAGGCAATGCTGTGGATGTATTTTGGACCCATCAAGGTTGTCGGAGGCTACAGACGTTTTGTGGACTTTTTGTGTTGTTTGGTACACAATGTGTCTATACCTAAATGAATTCACAACTGAAACCTTCTTTATAAACCAATTTCAAATACGTCATCTTCTATCATTGTTAATTTCAGGTTCTGTATTTGGACCAAAGGCGCTTTTGAGAAACTTGACTCGCTCTATGGAACATGGCGAAAGAAGTCATCTGAAAAATCTAACTACAAGTAAGCAGTTTTTTGGGCTTTCTTACAGTCATATTTATAACTTTGTACCCATCAAACATTAAGACAGTTGATGGGCTTCAGCTCTGTGTGATGATCGCATTAGGTTTGAAACACGGAGTAGAAACTTAGCACCATACTCAGGCCATAAAAATTTAACAGGGGAGCAGTGAGCAGCTCTTCTAGTAATTCCAGGTGAGCTATTTGTAGATAAAAAAGAATAGAAAAGAGCTAAAATGGATTTCAAGGAGAGTAATCTGTAGCTCCCATGCAGCATTTAAGGAGAGCCTGGAGGGGAGAAAGAGCTATGGCTCTCTTCAAATGCCCAGGCCTCAGTCTGTTCTAGACACAAACGAGCAGATTCATTTCTATGTCAAAGTCCTTATTCCTAGAAATGTTTTCTGCCAACACTTTTATCTATTTATTTATAGCATAAGCATGTAATAAATTTATGCAAGTTCTTTATGTACACATAATGCTCTTCAGTTCACATTTTATATTCTTTTTTTCATTAGAGCCAGATCATCTTTGCTAAAGTTATAATCTTACTTTTGGATAATTTAAGGCTTTTGAGTTTGAAATGTTATCAATTGTTTCTGAGACCATTTAACACAATTTTATGATAATAAATACACAATTACATTAAGTAGCAACCATTGTTAAAATCTTATAAAACTCAAAAAATCTTTTCTGTTTTGTTAACATGAAACTAAATTGTCAACTATCTCACTTTCCAATCTTAATTTTCTTTTTCAATGCTGACAAATCATATTGCCCTTATTTCTTTGTAATTGCCTTCAAATAATTGTCTTTATTTTAAATTTTAGTCTCCCTCGCCCAATTATGACTAATCCAGATCTCAACCGCCTAATAAACTCAGATGAAATCCAAAAGGCATTACAACCAAGAAAGTAAGTAACAGTCATTGGGTGTTCTTGATTTACCTTGTTAGAAATGTAGCATTATTATGACTCCTTTGTTGTGATTCATGACATGACATATACTGTATAACTCCAGGCATCTAGAATATGTCTCCAGGCATGAAATATTCTAGATAATTTACCCCGGAGAGTGTCAGATAAGATTTTTCCCGTTTGGTATGTCACACAAAGGTTTCTGGTCTGCCTTCGAAAAATGCACCATGCTGTATGTTAGGATCATCTGTGCTCTTAAAAGAAAACTGATTTCAAATTGAAATAAGATTTTCTCCTTAAGACCAGATGAAGTAACAGTGACAGTAGTGGTATAATTAGAAGGCAGATTGATTTGTCATTTTCTTATGAGAGTGATATTTTTGAAGATCTGATCAAAGATGTTCTTGATGACCTCTTTTTAATGTCAATTGAAAGAAACATCTTTGATTTCTGCTACATGAAAACTGCATTACAATTTATGCTTTCTGTATGATTGTATTTTGAATGGCAATTCATTGATTGTTGTTTGATTTTGATTGTTGTTTGATTAATGATTTTAGAACAAAACTTGAAAAACTTGAATCTTATTTTTTTTTCCAACAATTTTAACTAATCAATCTGGGATATTGTTTCTACAATTTCTATGTTGGCTGTGTCCACTTGAACTTTTGTTTGCCTATTTCTGGAACCGCATATGCACAGTATGGCACTTCGAAGTAGTGCAAATGACAGCTTGGTACAAATCTAATTGGTCACCAGTGAAATTGACAGATCACGTTTCTCTGATATCTTCGTAGATAAAACTTTTCAGTTTCTCTACTAAATATGTTTTTGAATTGATTGATGATTTATGATGTGGTTGTTTGGCGATTGATGATTGATTGGTAATTATCATACTTTGCAGAGCAAGACCACACCGTGCAATGAGAAAGAAGAACCCACTGAAGAACGTTGGTGTTATGTTGCGATTGAATCCATATGCCAAAACGATGAAGCGCCATGCAATTATCAATGCAGAGCGACGAAGTGCTGCCAAGAAGGCAGTTCTTGACCAAAAGAGAGGTATCCAACAACAGAAGAAGGCATGAACCATCAGCTGTAGTTGAGTTGCCGTAAATTTAGAAAATAAATGAACCTTAAATCAGTTTCTTTTTATTCTCATTCTGCACAAATAGGGAAACGTAGCTACAATCGATTAGGAGCTTTTCATTGATTGATGCCTTCTTGATGCTCTTCTGGGCACTTGCCTTTTAGGCCAAGACTACTGTCACAGGGTCCTAGTTGCGAGGATGGCTCATTTGTTAGAGGGGCTGACCCAAGTGTCTGTGGTTCGAGTCCCTGGCATGACCAAACTTTCACCCAGAGTGAGAAGAGTCGCCAGCTCTTTTTAATTCCAGGTGCAGGAGTCATGAGGTGTGGTCACATTGAGAGGAAGGACCAGGACACTGCTCGATAAGCATAAACTTCTCAGTATCCTAAAAACTACCTTCAGATGCTAGGTAGAAATAAATACAAAAAATACAAATATATGGCCCTTAAGCCTGAACATATGAACATTTTTTCTCTATCCTGTTTGTGTTAGTGTTAAGCTATGTTAGCAAAGGTTAAAAAAGCTAGGTGAGTTTTAATAATTTTTTGCGTTGATGTGAAGCTAGTTTTGTAGAATGTCACTAGCCAAAGCAAGTTGTTGCAATTCAGGAAAAAAATCCCTGGGAAGAAAGAATAGCCACACTGTCTTTATAAAACCAGAATGTCCAGGCAAGGTTTGATTTGGCGGTGGTAGAAAGAAGTCTTAATTTTTGAATAATATATAAGGCCTCAAATGTTAGCAATGAGTCTTCAAGGCCTCAAGAGCTACGCAAGCATCCCACAATGCTTTTTTAGACAGTCTGAAATCAATTTTGGTTAATCCGTAAAGTTTACTGCCACTGTTTGGACCGTCGTCACACTTGAAAAGGCCCATTGTTAGCAATGAGTCTTTAACTGTTGTGGAATATTCTATTTTCTGTGAGACAATTAATTTACCTTTAAAATGAGCCACTGTTCATCCCTGTAGGCTAAAAATTGAGGGGTTACAGTTTTTTTGTTTTTGGGGGCTGTACTTTGTCTGCTTTACACCCCTAAACTTTAGATCCAAAACACGGAAACTGGTTATACAACAAGAATGGCTGGACTGCTGGCTAAATTTTACTAAAATCTGTGAATTTGAGGTGAAATAGATTCATTTGATTTTAAATGGAAACACTTTTACGCATCAGAGCAGATTAATATTTATTATTTACAGTTGGCAGAAAACTACAAGATGATTTTTTTACTGTAGTTAATAAGAATTACAAATGCTGTCTTTATCAAAATATGACAATATATATACATAAGATTTCTTAAATCGGCAAAATTGATAAGTTGGATGAAAAAATCATACCATATATCCTCGAATTAGCCCCCTGGGGGCTTATTTATTTTTGATATTTTTGAACGGGGGCTTATACGAGGGGGGGGGGCTTATAAGATTATTGTAGACAATAAGAAGACATTATTAAAATACCTTGTTTATTTTAGTAGGAATTTCGTTATGAGCATTTAATTAATTACTACCAAAAGTATGAATTTGTTGTGGTGATTCAATAAAACGTCATAGGTAACCTCAGATGGCAAAAATCATCAGATTGTGGGTTCCAATTTGAGAATATACGGTAGCAGTGGGGGCTTATTCGAGGGGGGGGGGGCAATTCGAGGATTTACAGTAATCAAGGTGGTATACCAGGGACCTCTGTAGGGAGTGGGAGCGGCTAAATCTGAATTTTTCAATATAGCTTCAAAAAGTAGATAGAATATTGTCAGTTTCTCCATTTGTTAGGTTTTTGGCAAAAGAACCCCAAGCCTCTTCTCCAAAATAACAAAGAAATTGCAGACAGCATTCCTTAACTGGGGGCATGCCCCCCCTGGTTCCTACATCTAAGCACTCCCAGCTTTTTATAAATATCAATCCACTACAAAGGTATTCCGAATGGTTTATGAAAACTTTTCCTAGCACTGTAGATATCAATGGTGTGAATTTGCACCCTTATTGGTATGAATCTGAGAGAGGTTTTTCTAACATGGCATTTTCTTACAATATCATGTGAAGTTGAAACATTTGTTCTTAGAATAAGGAAGCTGTAGTAAATATTCTAGGTTTGAAGAACAATCGCCCCTTCACCCTAGTAAAAAAATGTCCTGTTTTCTACTAACAAACAATATAATTATGCAATTTCAGTATTTGTATGATCAAATATAAGCAAAAAGTACAAATTGGTTATTTTCTTATATAAAGATATGGCAATTAGCACAACATCCTTCTCAACTAGCAAAGCACCCATCACAGATTTCTCAAATGTTTTTGTTACCTCCCTAAGGTCCATGGCTAAAATTTTACATTTTTTCATATTTTAAAACATGTCCACAGGATTTACAAGTTTTACTATACTCGTCAGATTCCTCATCATATTGTTCGTTATCAGAATCATATTCATGCTCATGTGTTTGTTCAACCTTCTGCCATGTACTTGTTCGCACTGCTCTCCTCAATTCTTTAATTTTCTTCTCAAACCTTTTTTGCTTTGTCAGTTCTTTATTATCAAGCCTTTTTTCCTTTTCTTCTTCAATTTTTTCCAATGAACCCCAAATTTCTTTGGCCCTATCAATAATCTGTGCCTTATAATATAGTTTCATCTGTCCCCAGTAATCATTGTGTGGGTTTTTCCTCAAAACAAACTTCAGTACAGGTGTTCTCAAATCAAGATCACAGTCCTTAAGTAAGTATTTACTCTTTGCCTCTGTTTTTGTGCACAGATCATGTTTCTCATCGCATTTGCAGCCATCACAAACTGAAACGTCAAATTTTGTATACAGAAATGAGGCATCAAACTTCTTGCAGCAATCTTCGCATCTTAGATGCTTGCTTTCATCAAGTGTTGGGGGAGGCAGGTCCTCTACAAGGGCAGGTAACACTGCATTGGCCAAATCATCATCATCATCTTCAAGAAAGAAGCCAGCACCGGTGTCACGCTGACAAGCAAGTAGGCCAACACTCTTGTCCCTTTTGAGATGGAGCTTGGCAGGCCCAGAGCTAGCCTCAGCCGGAAGACCTCGTTTGATGCCCGTTAATCTACAGAAGATGAGTTGATTCTCAAAGTAAACTTATAAATACAATTGTTTTTGAACACACAAGAAGAAAAAGATGTCTAGTTGCCAGAACATAAAGTAATTTTTTCTGTGCAGGGAACGTGAGAATAAATTGAAATGTGCAGACAACAAATGTGTCATGAAAAATCGTGTTAAGGCCCTGGGGTAGACAGAGTTGATGCTCCCTGGGGTATTGATGCTTCCCAGGGTATCGTGTATGTAAAGTAGCATGTAGTTACTGTAACTTTTTAGGTCATTAAGGTCTTAAGGTATTAAGGTCTTTTCATATTCTATAACAGAATGAATTTGCCACATCAATTGGTTGGTACAGTTTCCGGCATTCGTACAGTCAAACTGTTTCTTTCGAGCAAAATGTGATAAGAAAAATTATTAGGAAACAAAGCATTTCTTTATAATTTTGTTTGAATTTTACAGCTTCACAGAATTTTGGATCCAGCTCAAAGGAATGAGCCCAGACTGGAAACATTGTCGCACGCCCGCGATATATTGCCCGTTTACTCAAATTTTCCATCTGCGCACTTTTGCATTTTGGCCGCACAAAGTCCCTATTTGAATACATTTCACATTAATAACAATACAAATGTCTTAAAAGTGTGTGATCTCAGGTGTGCAGTCGTGCAGTCAGGCACATGAACTTGCCTGCACAAGTAACAAATGGGAAAGAGCCCAAAACTAGCTAGGAATAAGTTTTGGACAGAATGAAGAAAGAAATTTTACAGTCTCATCTAGTTGTAATGAAACAATTTCCATTTTGAAAACAATGAAACTGAAACTACAGAACCAGGGAGAAAATACTAAAAATTTGTAGTTTGAAAAAGAAAACAAGAAATGATGTGCCCAGATAATACATAAGATTTCTTAAATTGTCACATTAAGAATGTACCTATATAAAGGACCATTGATTTTGTTATTTGCCAACATTTTGCCCCAGCATACCGATGATCTTCACAGTGTAATTTAAAAAACATCAATCGAAACTCAGGGTTGAATTGCTGGTCAAAGATTCACACTTGCACTCTTTTGTTTTTAAGAACAATTTTATAAGAACACAAGGCTCAAAATTGGTAAAAATTTAATAACAAATTAAGAAAAAAACTATTAAAATGCAATTTTGAAGAAAGTTTCATATCAAAACAAGGATTTTTAGCCATGTGTTGGTGCTTTTTCGGTGAATATTCAAACATGTTTCCGAATAAAGACGTCTCACTCACTTTGTTGGCAAGCGGGGCCCGAGCGCCTCCATAGAGCGCTAAAGCTAGCAATTGCACTGCTTACACCCTATTAAATTAGGAGCAAATTAAGAACAATCCAGCCTCAGATTTTCTAAAAATTTAAGAACAGCCAGCCTAAGCTTCAATTTTCTAGTTCTTATAAAAAAGAGGGTATATTTGCGAAAATCAGAAAAATATACCTGGCTTGTCTCAAATTAATGGCTTTCTGTCTGTTCTTTTCTATTCTTTCTTTCTGTTTTTCAGTTAACTGAGGGCTCTTACTACTGTTGTCAACAACTGCAGCGCCATTTTCAAGAGAAGTATCTCCCGCAATAACACTATCCTCCGCCATTTTGCCCGCGAAAAAGCTCCTCCTAAGTGGCAGATTGAAGCAATGCTACGTAACCAAACAGAGTTATTAAATGTGACGTCATGAAAAAACAAAAATTTCTTACGCTTTTTAAATCTAACAAGAACTCCATATATACAAAGTGAAGGTTGGTTCATCAATTGACGTGTCATGCAGTTTGCCAAAATGAGCAAAGTAAATTAAAAGTTTTGGCCCCATTTTTTGTGAAAGGTTTCAGTAATTCTTGTTTCTTGTTCCGGTAGCTGTGATAGATTTGCACGAAGAGTCATATTGTAGAAATCAATAAATCAATGGAACTAAATTTTTTTGTATGAAATGAATTGGAAACGGAAATCGTAATCATACACTCTTTTTTATAAGAACCTACCAGTAAATTTAAGTTCAGGCTGACTGTTCTTAATTTTTTCGAAAATCTGAGGCTGGATTGTTCTTAATTGGTTCTTAAATTAAGAGGGTGTAAGCAGTGCTATTGCTAGCTTTTTCGCTCTAAGGAGGTGTTCAGGCCTCATTTGCCAACAAAGAGAGTGAGACAGCCTTAATTTGCTGACAAAATTGAATATTCACCGAAAAAGCACCCACACATAGCTAAAAATCCTCGATTTTGAGAAAAAACATTGTTCAAAATTGCATTTTGCAGAAGCTCAGCCTCAGCTTGTTCTTAATTTGTTCTTAACTTTTAACCAGTTTTGAGGCTCGTGTTCTTATAAAATTGTTTTTATAAAAAAGAGTGTATTTGGGATATTGCTCACTGCTATCGCTTTGCAGCGCTGCCATTATGAGCAGCAACAACGACAGCACAGCAACAACCACAAAAGCAGCTGCTTGCAAATATTGCTTGTCGAGATGATGTTATGTAAGTGTATGTGGAGGGGTTTTTCTCCAAAATCGAGTTCTCTATTGTCAGCAAACAGAAGCTTGGTTGTAGGATCATTACAAAGATGGAGCTCAAGCAGTCAGGAGGAAAAAAAGTATGTTTCTTTCGCATATCGACCCTCAATTGGTCTACAGCGCGGGGCTTGCCAAGCGCTCCTCGCTCAACATGATTGAGTGTATGACCGTTGCAGGGCTTGCGCCATGAATTTGGAATTAGGGGGAGGGGGGGGGCAAGGCTTTAAATGTAGGGAGCCAAAGCTTCTTACCCCTTTTATTGCAGCTTTAAAACTACTTGCCTCGCAAGAAAGTTGGACGGGCCCTGATGAGATGCATGCATAGAATCAGCCTGGTTAAGAAAACCGAATTTTGAAATTGCACACCGAATTAGCAATTCTAGTTTTATGTATAAACTTCTTTTCACATTTTATATACTTAGTAAAACATGTCTGCATATACAGCGTACGGTGGATGTGAAATTTTTGCACGTAGGCTTAGATTCTGTCCAGAATTTTCAAACTGGCCAATATAAATTATATTTAATGATACTGAAAACTACATCCGTATGTGGACGCCCTCGATTAGTTGTTCTTATCAGTTATTGGCCTAGCAAATAATTAAGACAATTAATTAACCAACCTCAAAGAGAAACCATGTGTGATCTGTTTATAGTTGTTATGAGTTGCCAAATACAATTCATTCCAACGAGTTTCTATTGCTATAGAATGATTATTTTCTGGCCAAATATAACAGCATGACAAAATTGACCCTGAAACAAACAAATGCATATTTGACCTAAACAAATTTACATTTAATTTGGTATTTTTTAATGTCTTACCCAGGGGTGGATTTAAAGGGGGTATAGGAGGTGTAGCCCCCCTCCCAATATTCCTGTGTCTTCCAGTAAATTTTGCTTCCATTCAGTAAAAATCATTTTTGGAAGTCAGTAGTTATCGAACAATGCAAAACTTCTACTTTGTTTATCTTCTTATTTTCTATATCCTACAGTTAAATAGCAAATTTTGAAATTGGGCATCCTTATTCAGTGACTTGAAGGGCATAGCACCAAAATCCAATTATTATTTAACACAACCCTCCAATAGTTGTCACTTAAATCTGTCCCTGGTCTAGCCTTTCTACTAAAACACTGATAATTAAAGTATGTCATTGCCATTGCCATCAAACCACAATCACAAACTAACATTTGACAGAACAACTTGAAATATTGTTATCAATGCACAAAAGCATTCTGGGATTTTGTCTTGCCACAGATTCTAGCCAAAGTTTTCAGAAAAAGATGGTCACCAAAAAACTTGTGCACATACTTTCATGTTTATCAATACATCTGCCAGGTTTAACTGTAGACAAAACTTGCCAAAATATGTCTGGCCAGATCTAGTGGCCTTATAGGAACGTTATTATTTGGCAAAAATTGCTGTGGTCCCTATCTTGTGTCTTTTGACTTTCCATTGTTGGTGTTTGTTCCAATCTTATTCAACGTGCAGAGAACATGGAGCAAGTGAGAGAGACAGTGTATTGCTTTATAACTCTGATCTGAACTGAACTCACATACAAATTATCATACTTATATACAAAATAAATGTGCTGAGTAATGATGTGTTGTAATGATGTAATGATGATGCAATGGAAAAGGAAAGATCTAGACTTGGGAAGAAGTCAGCATGACATAGATGTGTGAATGTGTAAACAATGGTGAAGGGAATGTCCTGTGGTAGGTGATGCAGTGAATGACGTAAGTTGATGTCATGGCAATGGCATGATCAATGAAGGAGTAGGAAGTCCGTGTAAAATGGCCTAAGTAGAGTCACTACAGCCTCACTGCAGAACTGGTGCTTAGTCAGCCCTGGAATGCAGACAGGATGGACAGATCTGCCTATGTGACAAACCATTTTAGAACTGCTGTTCTTTAAATTGATAGTTGAGCCTTTTTCTCTATGAAATATTATGAAGTTGGTTTCAAAAACCAAAAGTAAGTTCAACAATTAAAAGAGTTTTGTCTTTTATGATCAAAGCCTGGAGGACAGAAGTTTTTCCAGTTATAACAGAAGGAGAGAATTGAGATCCTAGTAATGATTATAAAATTAGCTCCAACTGAAGGCAGTTGCTCTTAATAGCCAATCTTACTCTTCTGTTGTGAAGCTATGCCAGTGCAGGTTTTTTAAAAGCAATTTTTTATAACGCTTCTGTTTATTTTAGGCCCAAGACTGGAATTCTGTTGATGAACATGGGTGGCCCAGAAACAACTGACGAAGTTCACAGTTTTTTATCAAATTTATTTCATGATGGTGATCTTATTCCTCTCCCTTTTCAAAAGTAAGTACTTGCATTCTTTGTTACCGAAATATCTGACAAAAGCACAGAATAGCATGCTTCCACTTCTCCATGCTACTTGCGTTCTATTTATTTTTGTGTTACACACAGGGCTGCCAAGATAATTTGGAGAATGAGGGAAATAAAGTGGAGAATGAGGCCCATGCTAGTGAAGCGAGCAGACAATTTTTGTGACCATACCCTTAAAATTAGCTTAAATTCATCCATTTGCCAAAATTTTTTTTGTTTAAGGGCATAATTTTGTTAAGCAGAGTTCATTACTTAATGAGGCCCCTACACCTCAAGGCCCTGGGGCAATTTGCCCTCCTTGCCCCCCTCTCAGCGGTCCTGGCTTCACAATGCATTCTGAATACAGGTAATAGCCATTCAATGTGGAGTACCCCTGCCCCACCCTCTAGGGACCCTCAGAAAACACTATTGTTGCATTTCGGTGACAATGGTTTTATTACCCTCTGTATCCATATGCTTGTGAATTGCATTCATAATTAGAAGTGCCTGAAGTACAGTAGGTTCCCGCATATAAGAAACCGCTTTTTAAATTGAGGCCTCAGAACATTTCTTGTTTTAAGATTCTTATATATAGGTGGTTACACATTTTTTTAAATAAGCAACTAAGCTTTAAGTGTTTGACCGTGTTTGGTTATGCAAAATCATGTTATTTATTATTAAAAGAAGCATAAAATAATTTATTTCCTCTGAAAAAGTTGTTTTAAATTAGTTTTTAGGATACGGTGAGATACGCTGTGGAGACAAGAGGTAGAATACAGTATGACGGATCTGAAAATAAGAGCATTTCAATTTCAGACCTAAAATTGTTTCTTATAAAAGGAGCCCTTTGGAAAGAATTTGAGGCTGGTTTCTTATACAAGGGGGTTTCTTATATGCGGGAACCTACTGTATTGTCCTTAAACTGTTTTTTAATTTTTTATCTACTGTTGGTACATAGGCTGAGATGGCCCTTTACCTAATTACAATTTTTTTTCGTACAATAATTATATTAAAATTTATATCCAAAATTGACAAAAGGAAACATTATATATACAAAACTGATTAAAGAACAATGTCGATTTCCAGCAATTGTATAAACTAATAAACTTTTACAATTAAAAATACATTGATGTATATAACAAAAAGGTTTGATCAATTTATTGTTTAATTGATATCTTATGGTAAGATTCTGTATTTGTACTGCTATCAAAATGATACGTCATGTTACAATTGGTCTGGGAAACTTGTGGCCAGCAGGTGACATCCAGCCTTTTGGGAATTTGTGTCCGACCCGCATCAGTGTGTACTCAATCAGAACATGATTGAAAAAATGTTATAAACATATGATATGATATATTTTGCTATATTATATATATTATATATTCAGTTATATATATATTTTGATATTCATGCTAAACAATTGTGTCAATTTTGTTTTGAAATCGCACCATTTTTGAGAATACTTTTGTAGAAATATTTTTCACTGTACATACATACACCATAATTTCGAAATATTGACGTAATGTCTCCAGCTCCCTGCTAACCAGTGGCAGCTTGTATAAATTAGTATAAATTATTGGATTTTACATGGGGAGATAATTAACACTGCACATAATATAATTATCATTAAATGTATTCTCCAGCTCTCCAGCATGCTTCAGATTTCTCATGCGGTCCCTTTTTTCAATTAATTTTCCACCCTTTTGTAACTATGTGTATTACACTGTATTCATTAGTGACAAATCTAGCGTGAAAAATCTAGGAGGGCTAGCCGGGGACCAGCTTTCAATTTGAGGGGCCGTTTCCCTACGTGAAAAGGGTTTTCAACAGGATGCAAAGAAGGGTTTTCAACTCTGTTTGGGCTAACCTTGGGCACCCCACCCCAAGAAGCTGTCTTGTCAGTGGCAGACACTTGGGGGGGCGACCGCCCCCCCAATACTTTAGAGGAAAATGTTCTTTTGTTTTAAAACAATGGGAAATGTGACATCATTTTATTAAAACAATAGGCTTGCCCCCCCAATATTTGACCAAGTGTCCGCCCCTGTGTCTTGTGATGATATTTAACATATAACATATATATAATAAATATAGAATCACAAAGTAAAAAATGGTTGTCAATAATGAAATTTTTCTAGTTGCTTCAGGAAGGAATCAGAATTTTATTAATGTTCACCTCAAAATGCTTATCAGGGTCCCTAGCTTGTTAAAAAAGGCAATTTAGATCGCGTTGAGCAAAATATAAGATAGCTACTCTAGCCTGCGTCACAGACCATCACCACCAGGGAGGAGACTCTCCTTCTTGGTGGTGATGGTCTGTGACGCAGGATAAACTACACTAGCTATGACAAAAAACAATTGAACAGCTATGAAAGAAAATTTGATTTATTAATAATAACTTTTGTACAAAACTGAGGGGCCATGCAAGGGGCCAAGTACAATTCTGCAGGGGTCATGGCCCTTTGCCCCCTTCCCGTAGAAACGCCAATGGTATAGTTAAATAATTTATTTTCTCTCAAAAACCAGGTTTCTTGCACCTGTCATCGCAAAACGAAGAACCCCCTCAATACAAGAACAATATGCAAAAATTGGAGGTGGTTCTCCTATTAAGAAGTGGACACACATCCAGGGTGAAGGAATGGTGAAAATTCTGGACCAGATATCTCCAGGAACAGGTTTCCTCTCATTCAACCATAGTTCTGTTAGTTATATACGATGAATGTATGGCCAAGTTGTTTAAAGGCAGCCTGCCCCCCCCCCCGTGATTGGCTAATTCGAACGTGTAAGCCTCGCTTTAAAGATAGTGAAATAAGGTAAATAGTCGTCCTCAACAGGGGGTCCTACACTTTCGGCGTGGTCAGTGTAGTTTCATGTGATCTTGGCGACGGTTATAACCCACTGTTGACGAAACCTGTTTTCACATCAGTACGAGACGGCCCTGTTCACACGATACCGGATTCATTTCATATCGGATTCACTGACCCAATCCGATACGAATATCAAGCTCTGTTCACACGATACCGGATTCATTTCATATCGGATTCACTGACCCAATCCGATACGAATATCAAGCTCTGTTCACACGATACCGGATTCATTTCATATCGGATTCACTGACCCAATCCGATACGAATATCAAGCTCTGTTCACACGATACCGGATTCATTTCATATCGGATTCACTGACCCAATCCGATACGAATATCAAGCTCTGTTCACACGATACCGGATTCATTTCATATCGGATTCACTGACCCAATCCGATACGAATATCAAGCTCTGTTCACACGATACCGGATTCATTTCATATCGGATTCACTGACCCAATCCGATACGAATATCAAGCTCTGTTCACACGATACCGGATTCATTTCATATCGGATTCACTGACCCAATCCGATACGAATATCAAGCTCTGTTCACACGATACCGGATTCATTTCATATCGGATTCACTGACCCAATCCGATACGAATATCAAGCTCTGTTCACACGATACCGGATTCATTTCATATCGGATTCACTGACCCAATCCGATACGAATATCAAGCTCTGTTCACACGATACCGGATTCATTTCATATCGGATTCACTGACCCAATCCGATACGAATATCAAGCTCTGTTCACACGATACCGGATTCATTTCATATCGGATTCACTGACCCAATCCGATACGAATATCAAGCTCTGTTCACACGATACCGG